GTATCGGTTCATGGTATCGGTTAACTTTTACGAGTATGAGTACACTCACATTTTACAGTATCGGCCCCGATACCCGATACCAGTATCAGTATCGGTGCATCCCTAATGTGCTGGATTGATGAACAAACAGAAATACATATGATAGCTTTAGTAGTGAGCAGTCTTCTCTTGGATCAGCTGTAAATACTCTATTGGCAGTGAGTGTTTCACCAGTGAAGTCTGAGGTTTTATGGGTTCCATCAGTGGATTGGCACAGAAACACTGCTCTGAGTGGTGCTGCTTGATTAAAGGAATATACTGAATGTATCATCACTTCAGCTGTTAGGTGATGAAAAAAGAGACGATAAAATCATCCTCGCCTATATGGTCGATGACATCGATCCTTCACGCTACAGCACATTTAGCTAAATGGCAAACAGTCACAAATACCTTGATCTTTGGCATAAATTGTTCAATTTATTTGTTTGTTGCTGCTTTGAATTGTTTGTGCCAGTTGGACAAATAAGAGGCAACGATATAAACAGCCATTTACCATTGTCTGCGTTAAAGCAGAACGTTTCGTATTGAGGTTAAAATCATCATTTAGTGCAGAGCAGTGTTGGCATGGATGATATTATCGTTTAAGGAAGCTGAATAATCGAACAGCTTCCAAACATTCATCTATTCCTTTGCGGTGACGAGGGTCACAGTTGCACTCTGGATCGTTCCTGTTGGAACAGCCAAAGTGTCAACACACAGCAACAGTATGCTCCCATACTAGCATACCTATGACTTACCACAGCTTTATTTCTCTACACTCTGCATGTGTCTTTCTATATTTCCAGGGTCCAGCAGGAAAAGCTGGTCCTCCAGGTTCACCTGGGGCTGCAGGCGAGAAGGTATGAACACCAAGAGCTAAAAACAAAAGACATCTAACCTTATTGCCAAACTTCTGCACATTTTTAGTATAGACAGTCTTTATTAGTAATGATAGGTAACTAAAGTAGATTAACTCCTTTACTTCCTTTAGGGTGAGCAAGGCCTGCCTGGGCCTCCTGGGCCAAAGGTAATTTAAACTACTCAAAACAGAGTCATACCCGTAAATGGCATCCTGTTCACGTCGTTTAGTAGCCCACAAATAAATACATTTCTTGTTCTTGTTGTTACTAATGAAAGTCTCCTGTTTGTCTGAGAAGGGTGAAAGTGGGTCAGCGGGTGTCCAAGGACTTCCAGGGCCTCAAGGGCCTATTGGTCCGGAAGGAAAGAGAGGCCTTCCAGGCCCACCAGGACCTCCTGGCCCACCAGGGCCTCCAGGAACCAAATTCTTTGCAGAGGTGACCCAACCCAGTTTATGAATCACCTGTCCTCCACATATCACTGCTACTATATAGCCTCATATTGATTAACGAGGGGAAAATGGGAATTGCTGTAGAAAACATTAAAAGGTCTTTTTCATCACATTGAAGCTCAATAACTACAGACCGTGGCTTCGTTTTCAGGATATGGAGGGATCTGGCATGACTGATCAGATTACTGGAGCTGGAGTCAGAGGCCCACAGGTCAGTGTGAGGGGATATATGAGTTTATGTACAGTATATCTATTGATTCATATAAAGTAACACATCCTTTTTGTTCTTTTAAGGGTCCACCTGGCCCTCCAGGACCACAGGTAATCTGTTTATGAATTTT